TTATTTTTGCGATTGTTTTTTAGTTCCCAAATATTTATAATACTAAAAATGTTTATCTAATCCTTGTATTAATTCTAACCCTTGTATGCCTTTCAGGACTAAAGAGATGCCATATTTCGGTCGTGTGTTGTGTTGTAATACTGAAGAGGAATATCACAAATGGATCGCTGGTATGCTTTGCGCCGAATATCCCAATGGAGTGATCGTTAATGGGATTAATGGCAGACAAACGGATTTAATGGATTAAAACATCTCAATAAAGACAATCATATTTAATGTTATTATCAAATAAGCATATATTTTATTAATATTTAAATACAATTTTCATATTTTATAAATTCTTTGTTATTAAAGCGAATATCATTTGTCATATCATCAGAAGATTTATAACGAATTATTTAATTAAAATTGTAAAATACATAAAATTAAATTTTGTTGAGAATATCCAAAATCATGATCATTTCCGGATTATCACCCAATCGTTTCACCTCATCCCTGGCTATAGCATCCAATTGTTTCATACGATTCAATGTATACTCGAGTGAACCTAAACTCTGCATTTTTTTCAACGCCTTTTCCTTCAGTACGCGATCTCTGGTTCGCATCCGTAGTATATCTGCAAAAGTTATCACGTATTTTGTAACGTAAAATATACACATGTACTGAAGTGCACATGTATTCTGTCGGCAGTAGTCTTACCGATAACTGTAGTGTCGTTGAGATCGCTGTTAATCGCGTGTATTATTGGAAATGAAAACTTTCCTTCAGTCAAGTCTTCGCAAAAAGTTTTGCTTTCGTTGTACTAAACGTATGGAAATGATTGAAAACAAAAATAATTATTTCAAACATTGATATTTCATTTAAACCTCATTGAAACTTAGATAATGAACCACGCTTACAATTTTTAACTATGTTTAATAAATTTACACCTAAGCAAACTTAATAAAATTACATTGAAATATAATAATTATTTGTAAACCAATTAACCTGATCTGAAACCAGATTTGCGTAATCGTCTCTAATCTGGAAATAATCGCCCAAAATGTGGATAAATGGCTGAAAATCTATTTCATGACAATTGCTTAACAATTGACTGAATTTGACAGCCATTGTGAAGAGTCCGCCCGTTTTCTTGCGAATCATATCCAGGTATTGGTCTTCAGTCGGACACAGGAATTGGTCCCTCCAATAGATATCCAGTCCTTATGTTTGACATTATATAACATATTATGTGTGTGTGTGTGTGTGTGTGTGTGAGAGAGAGAGAGAGAGAGAGA